CATCTCCGCCTGCTCTCCCTGCCCTGGCGCGGCCTGCCTCAATGGAGAGGCTTGTCCTGTGCCAGGCCTACACACGCACAACCAGCCATCCCCAAACCCACTCAGACCTGCAGGGACACAGATTCAGCATTGTCTCAAGCTTGGGGACAGAGCAGAGAAAAGAAATGCCCTGGAGTTTGCCTGGAAGAAACTAGGCAGCTCTGTGAGCAACCGAACACGCCAGGATCGGCTGTTAATTTGTGCCCAGCTTTCTGTGGCTGCTGGCGCATGCGGCATGCCCCCCACCGCTAAGAGGGGCTAGTACATCACCTGGGCTAAGGAAAAGCAACTCTGATCATCCACGAGATTTGCGAGGCGGGGAAGTGCCACCTTCCCCAAAGATTTGTAGTTACTCGGGAGCCTGTCCTCCCGCCTCCCTCTCCACACACATCTTGAGGTGGGCCAGGACGGAGCAAATCTTCCAAAAAAAAAGGGAGGCTGTCAATCAGGAGGTACTTCACATTGCTGCGAGGCCCGCAGAAGAGAGCAGGGTCAAGATCAGGACCAGCACGCCGGACTGGTTGACCTGGGGGATCTTGAACCCTTTCCCCATGTCCCAGGCCTGCAGGAGAGACGAGACACAGCAGGGTTAATTCAACAGGGCTGGGACAGTCCCTTATGGGGGATGTGCCAGACACAGGCAGAAAAGCACCATCTTTCTGATAAAAGCTAGCAGGACCACCCCAAAAACCAGCCTTTGGATCACTGGGTACAGACTGGAGGGAGGGCTACAAGCATCCAGCGCTGCAGGGCAAGGGGCAGGGGTCTCCCTGGGTGCAGGCACGCATGCACCATGCCAGCAGCAGCTTATCCCCCACCAAGCCCCCGCATCTATCGGCAAAGCTGCCCGTGAGCTCTCCCTAATCCTCAACAGCCACAGCGCGCCAGGTTCACTTCAAAAGCGGCAGCTGTTCTCCACTTGTTTCTCTCCTGCTGACAGAAATAGGTTATAAAGCACAGTGTAAGCTGCAGATCTGAGGCAGCATTCTCATCCCTGCAGGCAGAGCCGAGCGGATGGGGATGAGCCTCAGCCCTCAGCACCTTCACGAATGCCCTTGGGTACAGCGTGAGCCATGGAGGCCAGGCTGAGCCCAGATGGCAGGGAGGGATGCTGGAATGGCACCTCAGAGCTGGGTGTCCTCCGTTCCCAGGTATCGGAGGTGGATTTCCACCTCTGATCCGACTTTGGCCAAGCAAAAGCAGGGTGGCTGAGGGCAGCTGGGGGAGCGCACGCCTCCTCCCAGCCTGCCAGCAACCCCCCCAGGGCTCCAAACAGAGAAGCACCTGGGGCAGAGGCACTAAACTGAACCTGCTCCCCGCTGACTCCCCTTCTGTCAATGATGGGCTGCGCTGCCAACCGCAGCCAGGGGCCAATGCTGCTGGTTTTCTTCTCAGACAATTTAATTGGCATCCTAATATATATGTGCAGTGAGAGTTTTTTTTGACGCTCTGAACAAGCAGCTCGTTATGACTGCTCCATTTGCCCGACAGCATCTCCACGAGTGAGTGGAGCTCAGCCGGCTGCAGGCTCCGTGCTCTGAGACCTCGTCCGATGCCGAGTGCTTGAAAAGCGGATAACGAGCACTTGCAGCACTGCCAGCCAGCTGCTGTCCACCCTGAGGACCCGCAGAGGATGCTCCTCTCGCAGCACACAGCTGTTTTCACCCCAACAGTTTGGCCAGGCACCTCCCGGCACTCTGAGAGGAGCATCTCATAACGGCTGCTCTCAGGTACAGGACACAACACCCAACAGTGCTCAAGTCCCATGTTTTCACGCTGGACAAGCCCACATCTGCAGCGTGGCTCCACACGTGATGCTCTCCCCGCCCAGAGCAGAAGGATCGTGTCATGCTCCGGGCCAGCTGCCTTTGCAATTTGCTCCCGTAAAACCTATCTGGAGCTACAGAAAACACAAAATCAACTACAAAACGCAGCACGTCTTGTACTGTTCCCAGTAAGAAACTCTCAGCTCTCCAGCTCCCCTTCCTTCGTCAAACACAGGAAGCTCGGCCAAATAGAGCTGCTTGCTCCTCGCTTCAGTCCAGGGCAAACATCACAGGTTACTTTCCGCGCAGGCAGTGCCACCTCCAATCCTCTGCCACATGTCTTCTGGGCTCATTAAATACCATAAGGTGCTAGGAAGATCACAGTGCAACGGCTGCATAACGAGGGTGAGATAACGAGCAGTGGGTGGCACCTCTGCAGGGCTCAAGCCCACAGCTCCACAGACACGTCCCCCGGCTGTAGCACTGCTCCCACCACTCCTCATCCGTCTCCCGCAGCCGAGGCGACGCAGGGGGATGCTTCGGCCAGCAGTGCCACCCGGTGAAGTACCAGCGTAGCGATGCTCTTTGCAACTTAAATGTACCCAAAAATAGCACCGAGGTTCTGAAGCACTTGAGGTGACTAATTTCCATTACCAAGGGCACCTTCCCAGATGCCGCACCTGGCACCCCCAAAGCCGACAGACGCTTCCCTTCCCTCGCGCCCCCAGCCCCTCATGGAAGCTACTCACGAGGTGTCGGATTCCATTCCAGGTGTGGTAGGTGAAGGGGAAAGCCAGAGCAAACTTAGCAGAGAAGATGAGAGCAGGCCCCAGGCTGAGCGACTTCACCATGGCCAGGTAGTGGGGAAACTGTTCTGGGAGCAGCAGGGCAGCCAGACTGAAGAGGGAGACTCCTGAGAAAGACAAAGCCCGCAGGTCAAGCCAGCAGAAGCGTTTCCAACCCCTCACTGCCCGCAAAGAGCCCCAGGCCACCTCTGCGCCTCTGGTTTGGTGACACGGCCTGAACCACCACCAGCTCACGGCGACTTGTGGAGGAAGGAGAAGGCCTCTGCCCGTCCAGTGGCAGCACCAGCTACACGGTCAGAATGCACCCTGGGGTGCTGAGGACTCAAACTGGGGTAGCAATGCCCCAAATCTGTGTCCTGCACCAGGGACTGCATTACTCATACCACACCCAGAGACCGAACTGGTGTGAGCTCATGCAATTCCAGCCAAACTAGCCCAAATTCAAGGTCAAAGTAACAATGAAGTTTGGAAACGTAAGGTGGCACCTCTTCAGCAAAATCCTCAGATCCACATCTTGGGACAGAAACCCCTCCACTGCCAGCCACCGACCCAGGCAGCGATCTAGCGAGGCTGCCTCAGGAGGGACCAGCAAAGGAACCGGCAGACAAAGAGGCAGCCTGACACGCGTGGCTGCGCTAGCTGCAGGAGCCGTGGCAGCTTCCCCTCCTCATTTCTAGGCCGAGAGAGTTCCTCCAGATGGTGCTGCCAAAAGAATGGGAACGATCGCAGCCAGCAGTCAGCCAAGTCGCGATTCACCCTCCACTCAATAGCGCCTGATTACACTGCGGCACGCTAGCTCAAGCACCTAGGCTGAGCCCGGCGCTGGCAGCACAAGTCAGCCAGCTGCTTCCTCGCTCAGCCACTCGTCTCCTCAACGGCCTTTGTGCTCGTCCTGCACGAAGCGCAGGAAGCCAGAGACTCCTGTAATTACAGGCCTTGATGGAGAGGAGTTGAACACTTCCCCCTCCTCCTCGCTGCTGAGCTGTTGTCGGCAGAAGCAACGTTCCTTCGTGCTCAGCCGGCCCAGGCAGGGGACGATTTCCCCTCTGGTAGAGGCTGATGGATCAGAGCAGAAAGGCAACTGTGAACCTGCCAGCTCGGTCCATCTGACAGCAAGCTGGATGGGGACTGCAGCCCACGGGGCCAGGCACATCCCGAGCTCTTGGAGAGAAGATCCCGAAGCGGGCTGGAGCCAGCACGGCTGCCATGCAATGCCCTGGCTTTGCGCACAAGGCAAGGTAGGCAGCCGTGCCGAAGGAGCCGGTTGGGCTCACAGGGTGCACGCAGGCAAAGTCACCTTGTCGTGCTCGGAGCAAGCAGCCGTCAGCTGCTCTCCCACAGAGGATGCGTGCCGCTCTTCGCGAGGCAGAGCTGGGCACAAGCCGGCTGGCCTGGGACGAGCAGAGCCTGGGGGCAGAGCCAAGCCCTCACCAGGGCTCTGCCGTGCAGATATGGGAGCCGGAGGGCACATGGGTGCCCTTTTCTAGGAGCCCAACTCCCAAGCCCTCACGGGAGCCAGGCTGCAAAGGGCAGGCTGCAGCCCTCACCACTCACTCTCACCATGCAGAGTGAAGAACACAAATCCTCAGTCCTGCACATCTCTTCTGAGTCCCTTTGCCTTCTGCAAACATCAGCCCAGCTCCCCCTCGCAACAGGGAGCTACCAGAGAAGCACCTTCCTGCTGCCATGAGAGGGCATTAATGGAAATAAAACAGCCTTTCACAGTTAGATGTCCTATCACTTAGTCAAACCATGCAAGTCAAATTGCTGGAGGGAGTTTTATCAGTTTTGACACTGGTGCCGCCTTCTCCTGGACTGGGATCTCTGGGAAAGCAGCAGCCACTTCCAGGAAGCTGAAAAACTCCACCTGTGCTAAGGAAAATCCTCTGAGCTCCCTGCCTGCCAGTCTTTCCCTCACACAGTGTCTCCTGTAAGGATAAAATAGCCACAGAAGAGAAGGGCTGAGAACCAGAGCAGCTGATCGGCCTTTTCCAGGCTGGGGGAGGCCCAGAAGAAAGCAGTCAGGCCAAACCAAGGGCTTCAAAGACTTCAAAGACTTTTACGTATGGGGCAGCTTCGCTGCCTTTGCAGGACTAGAGTGACTTGCAGCACAAAGGACCCGGGGACAGAGAAATGGGGATGGGGAGAAATTCAGGGGATGGAGAAAGGTAGAGGACAAAGCACAGGTTTCCCAGTGAAGCTGGGGACAGAGGGGAGAAAACATCCACCTGGAGTCATGTCTCTGAATCAGTCAGAGGTGTCTTCCCTCCCGCAGCCCCCGCCCTCCGTCACCACAAGCAGGTAGGAGATGCACGCACCTAAGCTCAGCGCAACACCAGTGCCCCGGTGTGTGATGGACATCGCCATGGGCAGGGACCACCTGCAAAACAACCAACCTTGTCAGCAAAACAGGGCACAACACCAGGGAGGCCTCCGAGGCCGCGGGATAAGGCACAGCCCCATCTATTCCTAGACAGTTCCGTGCTGCTGGGCGGGTATTTCTGCACTCGGAGTTATTCAAGGAATCCAGCCAGAGCAAAAGGGGAGAGACAGGGGAATTTGCAGAGGCAGCTTGGGAATGGCAAATGCCACTGGCACGGGTTTGGGAAGTGGAAGGGCGTCTGCTGAGAAAGCTTAAAGGGAGATGAAACAGGAGAAGACTGTAAGGCTCCTGCAGTTTAGGAACAAAGGGGCAGGGTTTGGGCATCCAGGCTCACAGATAAACGAGAGAATCTGGAAAAGTGAGGGAGGTGGCCCCAAAGAAGCAGTCACCTCTCCGAGGAGGGATGAGAGCGCCCCGAGTTGGCCTGCTCCCCCAAGGACCACCAGCTCCACAGCGGGACGCACAGTTCAGCTCAACTGCCCTCCGCAGAGGCAGCTGCCTTTCAACAAAATGCTGCCCTGCCCAAGCACCCCAAGGTGCAGCTCTGCGAGGACCTTAGCCCTCCACAAGCCTGTATAAAAACAGTGAGTGTCATCAACTCTGTGGGGGAGGTTGTGATTCCCCCACACAGCTCAGACAGTTCACAGTATAATGTAGAGGGTCTTCCCTGTCCTCTGCCTGAAGTGACAGTGGGAATATGCACAGCCCACCCACCCAACGGTGCCTCCAGGGACGGGGCTGTTGTGTGGCAGAGCCCAGAGGTGCTCCAGTGTGAAGTTGAGGAGGCCAAGAGGCTCTTACTTGTAAATGGTGATGTGAGGGGACAAGGGACGACTGGACTTGGTGTTCTTCTCCCAGAAGCGGGCCATCTCCTCCTTGGCTGTCGTTCCCATCGGGACAACACTGCAAAAGAAGAGGAGACAGGAGGTGCGGGGAGATGGGCAGTGTTTTACCCCTGCCCGCTCCTCCGGGCTTTGCTGCAGCAGCTTTCCATCTCGTGAGACGTGAGCTCCTGGCTGACCTTGGCTACAGTAGCACAAAGAACAGCTCCAGCTGTGCACGAACCCGGGTGAGGAGAGGATCGCTGCCAGCTCTCCCGAGCGAATAATAATAATATGCAGTATGGGAAGCTGCTGCGCTGGAATCCACTCAGCCAGCGGAGCTGAGCCACCCCTCCCAGCACCACCCAAATCAGGGTATAGAATATCAGATAACACATTATATAATACTGATAACACGCAACCTGCTCTTTACTGCCACGGTAATTGCACACTGTACCAAATAAAGAGCTTGTAATTTAATGTTCCTGAGATTACACAGCAATTACACTTACAGCCCAATTTAGCAGAAAATAACTATTTCTGCCTAAGCCCAGCAGCACGAAGCACAGAAGCAAGAGGGCTTCTGCAGCTCCCAGCCCTCCTCAGGTGCAAAGCCATCGCACGGAGCAGCTCAGAGGGGTGACAGGGGTACCGCCACCCCTGAGAGAGACCCAGGCCCGGCTCAGCAGCCAGCCAGGCTCTCCCTTCATCCCCATCCATGAGCCCCAGTCCCTCCGTAAACAGACAGTGCCTTCGTGGCGGCACAAGGCAGCAAGTGCCCAGCCAACACACGGTGTTGATTGACCAGAATTACGAAGCGGATGGAGTGCATGCATGCCCCAAAGCCTTAGACAGGATCCCTCGGGGAAGAACTTAATCCCGTTACTCTCAATGAAACCTCGGACTCACTGTCGCACAGAAAGGCCAGGGCCAAGCCGAGCCAGCAGGCATTGCCGACCGACACATCTGCAAGAGAGAAGACAGAAAGGCTTTGTGAGTGCCAAACAAATGCCTGAAAATGCCAGCAAGGTGGGGCCGGGGAGGGGATTCAACACTTCGTGGTTTGTATCTTAAAATCAGTCTTTATATGAAAGGATCTGGGCTGTTCCTCAACAAATCTTCTTTCTCCTACACGGAGCTCTTAACAAGAGTCTCTAGACTCTGCCCGGGGGTTCACTGTTTATGACACCTTGTAATTAGTCTCCTCAACTGTAACACCTTGTTTGTAAGACAGACCTACACAGCACTCTAAACTCACAGCTATGCTGAGGCAGTCCATTTTTCAATCTCACTACAGCAATTATCGGGGCAGGCAGCACACATCCCCAGAAAGGTGCATCTGCTGAGCTCTGCGGAAAGGGCTGGTTCAGGCTCTCCGCGCATCTGAGACGAAGACATCACCACCCTTTCCTCCAAACACTTGTTTTTATTACAGCGTTTCACCCCCGCCATTTGTTAAGCTCCGAGCACCAGCAAGATGGGAGGCTGCTGTCACAGCCCAGCATCCGCAGCGTTTCAGCCGTGCTGAGGCTCCGGGCAGGAGGTAAAAAGGGATTTTTGTGGTGCCCAAAGGAGTGGGAGCCACTCTCTGCAGAGTGATTGTAGTAATTCTGGCTCTGACATTCAAGGGCATCTCTCCAGGAACGGGGAGGAACAGGCCCCTGGCCCAGCACAGCTCGAGCGTTTGCAGATGTGGGCTGGAATCTGCGGCACCCGCTCCTCTCCAGGACAAAGCATAACAGGCAGCGCTGCCCTTCCTGACGACACGACGAGAACGAGGTGTGCAATAATATTTGGCGTGCTCATCTGCAGCACAGGGACAAACACTAATTAATCTTCTGAAACGCACAAGCATCTGTACCAGCATCTCCTGCTGTTTCATTAACAGCGGTAGATAAACAAAGCTCTGCTGCTTTTCAGTTGTCCTACAGCCGGTCTCAAGGACATGGTGGGAAAAACATCTGGAGGTCAGCTCTTCACCAGGTGTAAATGCAAAACAAAAGTCATTATTATTAACCACTCCGAGTTCCTGTGTAAATGATTGTTACGATGTTTCCTTTCAAAATCCTCCCTTGCATTCAAAGGCTGGACTTGAAACAGCAGGTTTTTAGGAAGGCATCCCAGCTGGATATGTGAATTTTCGGCAATGCAGAATCCACCCCATGCTGCAGCACAACATTTCTGATTGAAAACCCTTCTTTGAACCATCTCTAGCTTATCAACGCCCTCCGTGAAGTGCAGCCTGACAGCTCGACTGAGAGCTTCGCAAGGACACAGCGATGGTTGAGCCCAGCCAAACCTCCACCAAGCCCACCATCGCGTCCGCAAGCAGCCGACAACCCATACCCAGAGAAAAGTCTCAGGAAACACAGGGGGAGCACCCCACACCATGTGCAGCTCACACACTTCCTGAGCCAGAGGGTTTCAGTCTGTAACAAATGGCCTTTTCTGCCATGAAATCGCATTGCCACCTCCTGATCCCCCCAGCTTTCAGTATGAATTCTCGCGGCTTAACCAGACGTAGAGAATCCACTCCCTGCTTATCCTGAGCCCCTGCAGACGAGCGCCAGCCACCACCTCCCGGTTCCTGGGTCAGGGAGAGGAGGTGAACGATAAGTCTCTACCCACAGACCATTAATGATTTATACACTTCGCTCATGCCCCCCCTCGGTCCTTTTTTCCAAATTAAAAGGCTCAACCTACTTCATCTCTCCCTGTGCGGAAGCCGCTCAATACCTCTTCTGGAGGCCGGGGCGGGGGAAGAGGGAGGGCTGGCTCCAAATCACACACAGTATTCAAAACAAGAATAAAATCCACATCGCGTTTGCATTTTTTCAAAGCTAAACTCTCCAGCAAGAACTCCCCATCCTCTTGGCTGAATTTTAATTTTTTTTTTTTAGATGCAAAGCATTACATCTTGCTTCAGTGCGGTGACTACTGCTTGCAAAACACAGCCCTCCAGCTAAGCAATCAAGGTCACTCTGTACCAGGGACCTGTCCTCTTCATTATTTATCATTCTCTTAAGTTGTTGCATCTTCTCCAGCTCTTCCTCCATTAACCTGCATTTTCTTCCAGATCACTGATAAACATGTTTTTTTAAAAAGAAGAATTAGCCCTAGAAGAGGATCAGCCAGACCTCCGCTGAGAGCTTCCTACGACACCCCAGCCAACTCCTGCTCTGCCCCGTGCCGGAGGAGGGTGCAAAGACTCAGGGGACCCCTGGACAGTGTTAATTATCGGGGACTTTATGAAGCGCAGCCACTTACACAGGGCTGGAGAAGGACAAGTGTAAAGCAGCGGCTCAAACGAGACGTCTATTAATGATCAGTGGTGGAACAGCATTGGCTGCACACACCCTACCACACAGCTCCGTTAGCTCAGGAGAAGAATTTCAGGAGTCACTGAGGACAGCTCTGGAGCAGCATCAGCTCAGCATCATGTCAATAGACGTCGTTAACATTTATCCTGCAAGACAGGTCTATAAAAATCACTCGGATTTCACCACAGAGGAGCCAAATGACAAGTGATTACATATGCTTTTTCATCTGACGAGCGGAAGCAGACACAAGATGAAGTTATCAGGCACAGGCTTCAAACCAAAGCGAGCAACTTCTCTCCTGTTTTTCAAGCAGCAGCTGCGGGGCGCCTGCCCAAGCAGGTATCAGAGCCCCCGCACCTCTCCCGCTCCTGGCAGATCCTGCCTTTAAACAAACCCACACACGCAACAAAGAGCTTTCCACAAAAGCATGACAGCTCCGACTGCCGCTAGAAAGAGAATATATTGAGAGAATGAAATCCCAAACACCTTCTCCAGGCTGACATCAAAGAGGAGAACGTCAGAAATGAGCGCTGGAAGGGGGACAGTCACAGCCTCGAGGAGGCACAAAACTTTCCAGTAGGGTGGTGGATGGGAAAAGGCACCTTCAGGCTTCCCCACTGCTGCTCAGCACCACGGGCATAGCAGTACATACTCCACACAGGACCACTGAGCTCTTACGAAACCACCAGCACCCTGTCGGGTAGCCCTGCGAGGCAGGGGACAACCCCCAGCACCAGCTGGGTGGCAACACGGACGTTTGTCCACCCACTTGAGGCCACCAAGGGCCACAGGAGCGAGGGACGGGGAGAGACTGCACGCAGGGAGCGGGAAGGAGCAGGACTGGCCTTCTCAGCAGCAATAAACCGCCA